ATAAATATTATACGTTTTATACGTATTTTATACGTTTTTTACGTATTTTACCGTAAAAAACTGTAAAATGTAAAAAACTCTAGATAATGCTCGAATAACCCAACCCTGCGCTCGTGTGTACGCGAGTGTTGTTTCCGAACGTGACGTTATTGAACACTCCTCCTACTCTTTCTTGGAGAGCCAATAAGCATCTATCTTCTATCCTTCAGTGTTGGAACAAGTCCCGCTTATGGAAAACTTGCTCAACTAGCCATATAGGAGTATTACATATATGTTTCCTACAGATTTTGTAACCACTCTACATCTCTATTACACCTGCTCCTTCCACCCCTATCCTACAGATGTAGCTACTGCAATAAAATCCCTAGTATCACACCTTTAGTAAATTTATCTCAGACTGGCTTTTGCTCCTCACGTGCAGGGGCGTGCGCCATATAAGCAAAGAAGAAGAACTAGCAATATAGAAGTATTACATATATGCCAGTACCGAATGGCTTTTACTGAGATTAGGTTAGGACTAGGTGTATACACAGCTGATGAATGACTTCGCCTGAAAAACATCGCGGTTGACGGGTTCACCATCGACGAACATGGCGTTCAGAGTCGGTCAGCGTGTCGAGGTGCCAATAAAGGATTGCCAAGGTGTGATCGCCTACGTCGGTCACCCGAGTTTTGCATCCGGTAAGTGGATCGGCGTGATTCTCGATGAGCCGAAAGGAAAGAACAACGGCACCGTCAAGGGCCAAGTATACTTCAAGGTGAGCAAAACGGTTGACAAAGCTGATGAACGCGCGTTTTATATATTTCTGTTTATATTCATCTGTTTTCGCATGTTTTTTTGTGCGACATCGACAATAAACCGTTAGTGTTACGTCAAGTGCAAAATATACATACGTTAGAATTGCGCGCACATAAAATCTCATTTTGAAGTTTTTTTGTATACAGAAAAATATTGTTGTGATATGTGTTGCAATGACAGACGTCTTTATTAGTTTCTTAAGACTATCTTATGAGTTTCTACTTGATGATTTCGTTCGTTATAACAAAGATACGTCTCTCATTCAAAAGGCAGAGTTTAATTTCTTATTAATATAAAATATACAATTAAAATGTTTTTTTATTTTTTACATGGAAGTATTGAGGTGTCACCTCAGGCTCTCAACAAAATTTTAATAATCAATATTTGAAGTTAACGGCCATACAGAGCCAGTGCAGGATGTTGTGCAATAATTAAATAAATTAAATTTTAGCTTCAAAACGTTTCGATTTTTTATTGAAGTCCTTATCAATTGAATCTGGTTACAATAAAGAGCAATAATTAGAGATAACATACAACAATGTAAATTACAAACATTACAATGTTAATTCTATCACAAATTCCATACCTGAGATAATGGTGTAAATTATTTACATGTTAATAAAATAAGTTAAAATTGCAACTGTCAAAAACAAATATATGAAATAGGATGTCAGAGTATCGAGTAATCAAGTCATACTTATTCAAACATTCAATCGACACTGTGTCATCTATCTACAAATCGAACTGACAATGAAACAATGCCCCATCTGTGTGTTAAAGTTGTAATTTACTTAGTATAGGGATGTATGAATCATGTAACGCCTCTGTATCTTTCATTAAATTCAAACCATGCTTTTGTTTCTTAATGTGTAACATTTCGGATGTTTGTCTTTTGTGGTAATTCCGTTCTGTATCTAAAATTTTAACCGAATTCCATTCGAAACTGTGTCCTGTCTCAATACTGTGTTTTGCTACTACTGATGTATCTACGTGTCTATTCATGACATAATTAGTGTGTTCTTTGATTCTGGTTGCCAATTGCCTTTTAGTTTGGCCAACATATGAAGATGTGCATTGTTGACAATTAATGCAATAAACAACATTTTTTTGTTGGTTGAATGGAATAGGGTCTTTATGTGTTTTTATATATTTTGTTAACTGATTTAAACTGCGATATGCAGGATGTATCTTTTTATTATTAATTTAGATGTGATCAAATTTAATAAACATGATTGCTGATGTAAGGGGATACAAAAAAGAATTTTTCTTGTGTTTCATCTTCTTCGAGTAAATAATGAGAAATATGTTTATTAAGTTTACTAGTAAACAATTTTTTATTTTTATTACAGTGTCCAGAAAATCATGGCATGTTTGCTCGCCAAACACAACTTATTCTACTGGATGATGCTGGCAATAGGACAGAACCTGTTAGTCCTTCATCTGCTGGTAGCAGTGCTACTACACCTGATGACAGTGGTGCTGCTAGAGCAAGGAGTCGCCTAAATAGGTAAATGTTAATATAATACACATTTATTTAAATCAGATGTAAAAAAATTACAATAGTATTACACATAGTTACGCTCATTGAAATTTTTTTGTAAGGAACTCAGTAGACTGTACATGTGATTATCTATACAATAGACAAGTTTGCTAGCTACTAAGCAAATATAATTGGTATATATAATTATTACAGTAGCTTTTTTCAATTACTTATCTCTCTGTTGAAAAATTATAAAAGCAGTAAAATTAAATAATAATTAAACATCACTCTAAATAATATCAACAGTCAATTACATTTATTATGGGAACTTGTAGCTTTATAAAATTTATCAATTCTTCCACAATTTTCATGCCAGCATTAGTATACGACGAAGGAATGAGCCTACAGCGTAAGTTTTATACGTATAATAATAAAAGCTGATGGGTTAATTACTTTATTACTAATAATTACTTGTGTAAAATACAAGTATGCTAAGAAAACATTTTTTTTTACATTCTACACAAATAAAACAGAATTAGAGTGAGTCTGTAATTAATAAAATTCCTTAAAATGTATATGCTGCTTTCATAAAAGTGTACGAAGAAAAACATCTCCTGCGAATGTTACTCGCCAGCAATCTGACAAACTTTCTGGGTAAGATACGTGTAAACTAAATCTTGGATTTATGATATATCGATTGTGGATTTATGTCATCAGCAATACTTGTCATTTTTTTATTGCGCTTTTATAGACATCACGGAGACTTTGCAATTATCTCTTTTAATAACAATTTTTGCTAGAGTGCTAACTTTCTATTCTATCAGTGATTATTGAAAATATTTTTGCAGCTTTTGTGCAGCACAAGCCGTTGCAAATATGCCTTTTATAGAGCTTTTATATATATATATATGTATATTTTCTTTATTTTCAATTAGCAAATTATCGTGCACATTTTATTTTTATTGGTTCAGTTTTATATAAGACTTGTATCATTAAATATAGAATGTTACACTCTTTTGGTATTTCTACAGGACTATATTCTTAATTTAAATAAATATATATATAAATGTATTTAATATCTTTCGGTTTCATAGTATCTTACAAATCTTATTTTTTAGAAAATTGAAACTTTGTACTTAAGATTCTAGTAGTGAAATATGAAAACTAGTTAAAAATCTTTTTATTTACTATAGAAATGATAATGCAGCCCTAAGTTTCGATTCACTTCAGTGCGTTTAAATAATTAATTAATTTTGTATTTTCATAATCAAGGAAGTTTGAGTTTCTGTAATTTATAATCGGTCACATAGAGGAAATAGAGTAAATAGAGGAAATTTACAGCAAAAGATATTATGTCAAATGAGTAAATATTCAATATATTTGTGTGAATATTTCTAGAACTTTTTAAATTTTTGTTTTGCAGTTCTCGATTATCCTTGACCGGAAGTAGAACATTATTAAGTGCTCCAAGCACAGAAAGCCTAACTGGATCACAGCATGAACGTAAAGATAGTGGCGAGTCATTAATTCCAGCACCGACTGCAACATCAAAGCGTGCCTCATTTATCGAGGTGAGACGATATATTTTATAAATCGTAACATAAGTGAGACTTATCTATAATAATATACGGATTATATATTTTTACATTCAGTAATAAAATTATCCATCAAGAACGTTATACAAAAAAATTTAAGGCATGTAACTGGTTTATATAATTCCTATGGATATAAGTTATATGTTACATTTTCAGTGTTTTTAACTAACGGGTTTTGATCTTTGAAAATCTTTAGGTCTTTTTCGATTATATTTATATGTCTCTTATACATTCACGCGCAAAGAATCCTATTCTGTGACTCGGTAACAAATTGATGAAAATGCACGTGTGTATATCGTCATGATCGTGTGTTTGGAAATATGTGAAATAGAATTAACGGATGGGAGAATTGAAAAGAGAAAAGAAAGAAAAAACAATCCATAGGAAAAAAATGAATTTTTGTGTGAAAGCAAGTTGGCGGACTCTGTTGGCACAGAATGATTCATATGGGAATGCACGTACGTGTTTCAGAAGTCCCCTAGCACGAGCTCGCCTCCCGGCAAAAAGCCAAAGGCCCAAGATGATCACAATAATGTAATTAATATTCATTAATTGTAATATCTCAGTTATTTTAATCACCTTTCTAATATCTTGTTCTTTCGCATACTAGCTGTTTGTTCGATCATCCAGCATCTCGTAACACCACGTAACTTTTCGCAACTAAAATTACCGCCACTGCACCTTTTAACGGATATACCGTCTGTTCTTAGACGGATCACGGACCCGATTTTGTTTTTTACTCTTCGTCATACCTCCATCATTGTTCTGTTTACCATCAGCTTCATTAACTGAGTTCTATGATGCTTCCGATTTACAACGAGAAGTCGATGGTTTGGGAAGGGTATATATATATATATATATTTTTTTTTTCTATCAGTGGATTAGGAAAATGAAATTCTCCTTGCATTTTGTTACAAGGATGATAACACTAAGTTAAGTGGAAGAATCTTTAACAGCATCATGGTACAGAGGTGTAACGTTTGCCTGTGATCAGTAAACTTACTCTCGGAATTGTCTGTTAAGAGTTAGTTCTCCTGGAACGGGAATGCAAGTTTGACACTCAGTGTTAGGAACGTAAACATAGTTGAGATAGTTGATGTTCTGTGACTTTTGATACACATCCTGTGTAAATGCAATATACACGATATTCAACTGATCGACTGGGACTATATATATATCGTTAGTTACTAATAGAGTTATTCGATGTAGCTTGTTAGTTGTTTGTTGTCACTAATCTCTCATTACTCACTGTAGGACAGACTAATTTCTACTCAAATGTAAATACAGAAACAAAACGGCATCACATTTAATCGTACATACATTTATTATTATTATTACTTAGGAAATATGGGGTGTTTTTTTCATTGCCGCATTTTGAGAATGGTCACGTTATCTTTGTTTGCGCCATTCATGTATTATTCAGTTATATCGTGTATATATATATATACATATATATATGTATTGTACATATGCGTTTCAAGTTGGTACAGGTACACAGGTTCTTCTGGAGACTTAGAAGAAAGCTCTTTAAGGCGATATGCAATTCTTTCATGCGATAATAAAAAGAACACCCAACTGCACGAAGCGCAAATATGTCTTATTTGTCTCCTTTCTGTAACCCAGACAGGTTTTGTAGAAACATTGAAGCCGCAGTTCGTGCCCGGTCAGGTGATGGCAGGTTCGGCGGCGGCCGCAAATGTGGTGGAGGAAAAATTGTCGCACTTGCAACTCGTACAAGAAAATGATAATTTGAAATCTCAGGTAAAGAGTGAAATATTCTTTATAAACATATATATATAAACATATAAATATATTTTTATAAACATATATATATATATATATGTATATTTGATTGATTTATTACTGTGTTACACATATTTAAAAATTACATACGTGTATTATACTCGTTACATTATTACAGGTACGTGATCTTACCGAAAAAGTGGAAACACTACGTGTAAAACGAATGCAGGACAAAGAGAAGATGAAGGATTTCGAAAAGACAAAACTTCAAGTCGAGCAACTGCTTGAGTTCAAAGCTAAAGTCATGGAAAGTCAAGTGAGTGTATATATTAGACTTTTTTTGAAACATTAATCTTTCTAAATTATCAAAAATTTTTATTATTTTTTTTTAAGGCAAGTCTACAGAGAGATCTTCAACGTGCTCGACAAGAAGCCAGAGAGGCTCACGCGGCGAGAGAACAATTTCAGGAAGAGATGTCCGATCTCGCCGAGACAGTAGAAATGGCTACATTAGATAAAGAAATGGCAGAGGAAAAGGCTGAAACTCTTCAAATAGAACTCGAACAACTTAAAGAAAAATTAGAGGAACAGACATTAGATCTAGAGATATTACGCACGGAAATGTCGGAAAGGGTATTATATTCTGGTTTTGTATTATCATCTATGTTATATTGTATGATATGTTAATATTATCATTTTTGTTCCGACTATTTGTTATGTGATACATATTTGATTTTTGCTTCTTTGAAATTTTAAGGCAGCTGGCAGTGGATCGACCACTACAACCGTTTCACATTACGAGGTAAAACAACTTGAACAACAAAATAACAGACTGCGTGAAACGCTTGTGAAAATGCGCGATTTGTCAGCGCACGAGAAGCACGAGTTCCAGAAGTTACAGAAGGACATGGACCAGAAAAAATCTGAGATTTTGGAATTAGGACGCACGAAAGAGAAATTGTCGGCGCGTGTCGAAGAAATGGAACATCAAATAGCGGATTTACAGGAACAAGTTCGTGTCGCTTTTATAATTTATGTATCTTTTGAAATGACATGTAAGTTATTAACATCTGTTATAGGTCGATGCGGCTTTAGGAGCCGAAGAAATGGTCGAAGTGCTTGGTGAAAAGAAAATGGCGTTGGAGGAAAAAGTTGCCGAATTGGAAGAGGCTGTTGCGGATTTGGAAGCTCTGCAGGTACTACATAGTTTCGCACAGTTCTCTTTGTATAAAGTAAAGTATACAACATTTTCAACAAATATTATGAAATAACTTGTCACATCTGTTTTTTTAAGGATATGTCTGATCAACTGGCCGAATCGTCCAAAGAATTAGAACTGGAGCTTCGCGAGGAATTGGATCTCGCTCTTGGAGCAGCACGCGACGCTCAACGGCATCGAGACGCCGCGTTAGAAACGCTCGCGGATCGCGAACTAACCATTACAAAATTCCGCGAACTCACGCATCAGTTGCAAGAGCAATGTCTGCACCTGCAGCAACGCGTTCAGTCGACAGAATCTACCAAGTCCAATGTTCGAGGCAAGCAGAAGAAATATATCTTTTTTCTTTCTTTTTTACATTTTTCTTACACTTCTAATAAAAATTCTTCTATGAAATCATATATTTCGTTTACAGGTGCAGATCAACAACTGGCAGAAATATTAGATTTCCAGAAAACATTTGCCGAAACCCGTGCGCAAACTAAAGCGGTCGATCTGGAGCTGCGTCGGCTGGATGCTGAGGAGGCGCGAAATCACGTGTGCTATCTATTGTCTTTTATGCCACCCGCATTTTTAGCTCGTGGTGGAGATCACGACGCGATACTGACGCTTTTATTGGTTCCTAGAATGATGCAGAAGACGGAAATATTGATCTCTCAGGTCCGAGAGAAGTATCGATCGATCGAGAAGATAGACAAGTAACGATATTTTCACATCTGTTTTCTCTATATAAAATAAGTTTCGAATTTCTTGACATTTAATATCTTGTTTCTCTTTTATCACGCAGAGCTTCTGTAATAAGAGGTCACTCGGTAGCTCAATACTCGTTCAGATGTCGATTGTGTTCGCATATGTACGCCTTGCAAACGACACTGAGCTGCTTTGAGTCGGCTCTGAACTCGTGCACTCCGGATATGTTGCTCAAAGCGGGTGCTGCTTATCCGGAAATGGCGGCGCAAGAGAAATCCTTGGACTCGTTAATCGAACTAGCTAAGAGAGATCAGTTGGATGAGAATTTGCCAATGGATGCGATCGAAAAGTGCTGCGTCTATTTCGCCACGATGTTCTCCGTGCTCTTTGGCGAGAACACAGCCATCAATCAGGCGCGTCTGATTGTTAATGGCACGAGAACTTTGGGCAGTTCGTGCGACGCTACTTCAACTGACGCTAGGGCGATTAAAGCGTTGATACAAGGAGAAGGTGGCGATATAGGTCTGCTTTGTCAACACATCGAGAAGACCTGCGAGGTGATCCAGCAGCATTTGAAATCGGCTAGAAGACGCGTTCCGCGAGATCATGCTGGTCCAGCGTTTTCTGTAGGCGCCAATCTAGGCTTGGATAAAGATTGTAACGAACAGTTCTCGATGTGTTATCAACACGCGGTGAAAATTATGAAGACGCTTCAAAACCTACTGAAGAATGCTCTGCAGGCTATCATTGAAAATGGCGATTTAGAGACAGGACTCGCGGCCGATAAGTTGAAGGAAATGGCCGCCACTTCTAGCGAAAAGGTGTACGACACGGAAGATCTGGGTCCTGTGGCGACTATCAAGGCTAGTTTGACAGTGATACAACAATTGGCGGCGAATCTGGCGCAGAAGATGGCCGAATGCGAAAACGAACTGGCTATAAGTGGACAGACACAGAGTCAACAACAATCACTGGAGAGCGATCATCTAACACCTATCGTAATTAGAGCGAATGCAGTTAGGAAAGATGCCGAAGAAACGAAGGTGCTTAGCAGAAAGCTTGAAGCGAGAGACAGCGATATACGCGAAGCGAGATTGGCACTGCGCGAAAAACAAGAAGAATTGTCCGAAATGACGCTGCGGAAAGAATTGGCAGAGAAACGCTTCGCGACACAACAACACGAACACGAAATGAATGTCGAAAAGCTGAAAAGAAAGTTAGAAGAAGCGCAAAATCAATTGAAACGCAAGGAAAAAGAATTCGAAGAGACGATGGACCATCTTCAGACCGACATCGATAGTCTGGAAACGGAGAAAGGGCAATTGAAAGAGAAACTGAAATCTATTGGCAAGAAGACGATAATGTCCGGCGTGGATAGTATGGCGGGAAGCACTTCAATAACAAGCGCTCTGGACAACAAATATTACGTGCAAGAAATAAACGCTCTCAAGGAAGCTTTGAACAATGAGCATCAGCAGAAGAAGAAAATATTGTGCGACGTTCTGCGTCAAAAATTGGAAAGTTTGGAACCATTGTCGTCGCCAGCGAACTACAAGAATCTGGATTCGACAATTCAAGAATTGCGAAAGAGGACTACCGATCTTGTCAAAGACGTCGAGAAGACACTAGTGTATCCTACAGTTCCTGACTTGAGACGCAAAGTGCCCGAAACGTCTTATCATTATTTATTGGAGCGGCGAAGAAAAATCATGCAGTTGAAAGAACGAGCTGACCAATTAGCGGTGAGTAGGTAGATAATGAAACTAAAACTATATTTGTTACCTGCATATCCAACGTTTATATACTTTTTTTTCCAGGCACAAGTGCGCCGCGAGGCTATCAAACGCACACCCGGTGGAAGAGCGGAAGCGAATTTTGCCGTGTATCCGAATCGCGAGATGGCGGCGGCGATGAAGGAACGCAAATTAATCGCAGCCGAGATAAAAATCCCTTCCACCGGTCCGGAACAATTTTTCTCTATTAATGTAGGACCGCAAGAACTTAGAAAAATCCACACTTTGTTGTCTTATTGAAGAAAAAATCTATGTTGCTTTATTAGTTTGTCTCTTAACGACAATATGTGATCACGAAAATTTCTCTTGCAACACGCAAATTTTTTAAATAATTTTTTAATGCAATTTTTCATATTGTGTTGTTTTACTTATCATGTTTTATAGAAACAAAGGAAGTTTAAATTATTACAAATATTGCTGTGAATAATAATGATAATAATTCAGTACTAGATTTTTATACGAATAATTTTAGTTGTATCTTTGTGTCGGCGTGAAAGAGGTATAGGACAAATTTAGTAATTCGTAAAGTTTGCACTCGTGCAGTATTTATTTATATTGGGCTACAGCACGATGACCAGCGCATCGCGGCTGGGACGTTCATCTCCAGTGTTTTATTACGTTATAAACGCGCAATGTTATTTAAGTATTAACAATTCGGCAAAGAAATTTTGCGCTCCCACGAATTTTATATATATATATATATATATATACATACATACATACATACATATATATATATATGATCTATAAATATTTACATGATTATTTCTTGTATTTACACCTCAAACGCGGTATCACAATAATAAAAAGTAGTGCACGGTCTTATATAGCAGACCTACCTTGACCAAATGTCACAAACGCTTTCACCGTGCTGTTATTATGTGTGTATGTATACATATATATACACACAAACACATATACATATGTATACATATATATATATATATATATATATATCTCGAGCTTGCGTAAATTTACCGCTCAAAGTCGAAATTCAATGAAAAACAGAAATTTACAGTACACAAACAAATGTTCTAGTTTTTTTTTATTTATAGAGATAAAAGGAGGAGTAAACCGTTGATGTATTTTCTCAAATATTTATGAAATAACGTATGTTTCCTTAAATTACTGTCACAATTTTATTATACATATACAGGACATACGTATGTGCGTATGTATATACACACACGCACGCATTTTTGTTTGTTTTGCAATATCTTTATACTGTGCATGTACATGCGTACACACATACGTATGGCGGAAAGATATTTTTATACGTGCGTATGTTACTTAGTATTTTATTAACTTACTCGCGCTCATTCTCACATTCTCACAGCATGGGTGGTTTGCGTATTCCTTTACACTTTCATTTATACTTTTTTTTTTGTTTTAATAATATAATTAAATCACGCATTCAATCGAGGATGGTTATTGGTTACTTCTTTCTCACGTTTATATATAATCCAGGCAGCATCAATCTGCTTTCTCGAAGTGTAGCAAGCTTTCGCGATCGTATAAACGAATTTAGTTTGTCTTCGCATACTCTTCGCAAACCCTTAAGGCTGACCGGACGACGACTGGTAGTACCTTCCACGACGAGGACGTGTGACCGCACGCTAATATATTTAACTTCGTTAAAAGGTATATGATTACTAAACATTTTCTCTTGTTTGTCGAAACTAATGCTCGCAGAATAAATGGACTTGTGAAAAAATGTAGCTAGAACGAATGATACTAAAAAAAGAAATTCTTAAGTGAAATAAAAATGATTAAAGTTTTCGCAGTTCGCAGTATCGTCAATAAAGTGTTTCCATGACTCGATCGAGGCGACTCTTCTCGTCTTCTCTTTGCGTATGCATGTATAATAGTATGTGTACGAATATAACTGTTACTTGTATTGGTCACGTGTGAATAAAGTCCCTTTAAATATTGTATACAAAATATCAAACTTAAATCTTGAAGCAACAGCACGTGAAACAGCTACTGCACAGTCTCTCAGCTATTAAAAACTACATACGGAAGAATTATTACAGCTGGAATTCTCAGTTACAGGAATACCGTCGCGAAACGAAACAATTAATATCATGACATTAGCAATAGTCGAAAGTGAGCCTGTAACTGCACCCGGCTAACCAAAAAAAAAAATAAATAAAAAACAAGTTCCTTCGTTTTTTTTTTCCAACAATCGATTGCTTTTGCGATTCTCATCATCAAACATATTCACAGACAGAAAGAGAGTTGAATCGAGAGACGCTTCTTACAACTTTAGTTGTTTCATCTTCTGACAAGAAAAGCGCGATAAGTTTGTTAACTCGATATAGTGTATGTACTTAAAAGTTGCCTTAGCTTACAGTACTTGTCATATTTGATATCGAGGGGAGACGTCGTTTGTTATTCATGTAAAAAAAAGTTATTCCGGTCAAACGCATCAAAGATGTGTATTGTGCGCGATATCTTTGACACCGTTGACGCAGCAGTATTTAGTAGGAAAAATATCAACACTTTCTCAATATATTTCACATACTAGCATGCTCACACTACGCATTTGAAGACGAAGCGAAAAATTTTGGGAAGCAATATCATTGTAATTCGCCTAAAAATGAGGTTCATTACTCACACGAAACACTCATGTTGTTTCAGATTTGCTTCTTTTAATGTGTATATATATATATATATATATCTCTTCTCTGTTTTCGCGCTCACAGAGTAGATACAAAAATTTTACACGACACGGACATCGTGTACGCGAGTATTCAAGAATTGGTGGTTGTGTAAACCGTTGCGTCCTCTCTTTCTCTCCATGAAAATTTTACACAACAAAAATCTCGTTGATTAAATACATCCACTATATCCAAATACTACTAAGTCCAAATACCACGTGTGCACTTTTGTTGTATTTTTATTTTTTTTTTATTTTTTTTTTTACTAAGATCTCTCCTTCATCAGGACATCAAACTCTTTATTTTCAATCATGAATTATCAACGGTAAATTAAATACGTAACAAAATAAGAACAAGCCACTTTTTTTCACTGGCTGGTCTCTCACTCGCATTTACGAAGATCCAAAGAGTTCAATCAACCGAAACTCTAAGTTTCCAAAAAACATTTGTTGTCATTATTCGACGTTACACAACGAGCATATTTCGTGTGTAGTATCCTCGCTTAATTATGTGATACACCGTGTTCCCTTGATCGCATTTGTACGAGTGCCGTATATTCAGTAATCACACAATTGCGTTTCACCAATCGCGCAGTTAGAGTGTTGACTGATATGACTCTTTGAATGACAAAGTTTTACAAGAAGTTCAGTACCTCGTTTCAAACACTTTTAGCGATCGCTACAATGAGGAGTTTTAGTCTTAGCGAGCTCCTGGAACAAATAAAAAAAAAACGAGTTTGAAATAACACATACATGGATAAAAACTATCTACACATACTACATCGAATTCTGATATCGACAATGCAATAGCTCATCGTGGACACAGTGAATTTTTTTTTTTTTTTTTATATGACGATGCTACTCTGTTTCGTTTCTCAATTTATGTGGCAGTGAGACATACGAGTCACAAGTCTTTCAGGCAGTTTTATCGTTTATTTTGCATCAAATGCAAAACAAATTTAAAAGCAATATATTGATGACAATGAGGCACGTGACAAGTGAGAAGTCAAAACTCTATAAAACACAAACGGAATTAATTACAAAGAAACACACATTAAGACCTTTTCGATTCTCGCCGCAGCCACTTCGGGTGATTACATCAGAAAATACACGTTTAAACATTGCCGCAACTTGTGTTGTCAAAACAAAAGAATATTTCTGTACAAACTCAACTCTTACGCAAGACTCTGCTTACACGTGTTCATTCGAATAAAACGTTTTCAGCATGTAGTAAACACTGTTTACTTGTTTGATTAATAACAAGCATGTGCTTTATGACTTTATTTTTCTGATGTTTTGTTGTTAAATGAAAAACAAGTATTTTGTATGTTACGCGAGTGCGCTCTGTTGATCAAAAAAGTAAGTTTGTGTGGAAATATTTTTTCGTTTTATCGTAAGTTGTAGACATTTTTTAAGCATATATTTCCTCGTTTCTGTTATCATCCAAGCTGACTTGAGTATCGAAAAATCTTACTTGCTGTACAAAGGTATAAGTTCGAATGCATCAAGGTATCGAATCGTTAGGAAGTGTCTTTGAATAAAAAAATAAGCCATTTTTAAGTTTACTAAAAAAAGTCTACTATTTATCACAATATTATAATTATTATAAAATAATTATAATATTTACAGTAACATAGGAACATTAAACTCATTATGCATGAAATAACGTGAATGACGAATTATATCTATCGATACAAATTAATACAGAAACTGGATTTTTTTTAGCCAATGTAAATATCATACATGTATTTTGTTGATACACAAATTGTTTTGATATATTTATGTATTTGATGTTATGAAGCGTTATGGAATGGTTAATTAAATGTTAATTAGCAAATAAGCATACTTATATTTCCATGTTTCAGTCGTTATCATTAGTAAAAGATAAAAGAATCTTTATCTCCGCAAAATTTTGTGAGGTGTCGATTCACATCGAGGGAGGAAAGGAAAAGCAATTACGGAGCTCTTGTGTTATTGCTTCTTGGAATGATCTGTGCCGATTGCAACGTGTAGTTTTGCAGAGGGCTCCAGAAGCCATCTTTTAAGCTTGTGATTGGCTGTTAAAACGATAACATACATGAACATAACTAAAAAAAGAACTAAGAAAACTTATTCATTGCATTAAACATAAACATTAAGATAAAAACTAAAAAAAAATGAGAGAAAAACTTGCGAAGCTCGGGTAATTAACGATACCACAATGTTTTTAAATAAACATAAAATAACGAAAATGTACATAACTCTTTAAGAGATTACGAGCTATATACAGAAACATGCTACAAATAATCAAATCCCAAACTTTTGATTGCACCTGATTGAGTGTTGGCTTGTGTGGGTGCCTGGCCTTGACCTTGTCCTTGTCCCTGAGCACCCTGAGCACCTTGTGACAAGCCAGCGCCTGCCGTAGATACTCCACCACCGACCGTTCCACTGGCGACTTTCTGTTTCAACATAGTCCAGTCGAATGTGTAGTCGTATTGATGGTTTAATGTACGGAACAATATACGGAACAACTGGCGCAAATACATATAATCCGGGCTCTCTTCGAAACGTAAACCTCGCGTATAGTTCAGATACATTGCGAATTCAGCAGGAAATCCCTGAAATACATATAACAATTTCCGTGTGTTATAGATGTAAAAAACACTATGCAAAAAAATGTAGTAAATTGCACAATAAGAGAAATACCAAACATTGTTTGTTGATGTACCTTGCACAAAACTTCCACTGGTGTGGACATCTTCTTTTCACTAATTTTTTCGTATTTTTGTTTTTTGTTCGCTGCTTTGAGACCTTGCCAGGGTAATGATCCCCGATTGAAGTACATTAAAACGTAACCAAGCGATTCCATGTCGTCGCGACGACTTTGCTCAATTCCTAGATGCGCGTTAATAGATGCATACCTGGCAGTTCCTGTTAAATTTTTGTCCTCGCGATAGATTATGTGCATTCTTGTGCGACTGTCTCTATATTTCTTGGCCAATCCAAAATCGATAAGGAACAACTAAAACATATACATTCTACAATTTAGATCATCAGAGTCGAGACATTAGATTGACGATATGTATCGCCGAGTTCACAAGTTACATAAGTCAGAAGAAAGAATCAGATAAAAATATGTACCTTATTACAATGTCTTCCAATCCCCATGAGAAAGTTATCTGGTTTGATATCTCTATGAATGAAATGTTTACAGTGCACATACTCAATCCTACCAATCATCTGATCTGCCAGCATTAAGACTGTTTTGATGGTAAACCTTCGTGAACAAAAGGTGAAAAGATCTTCTAGTGATGGTCCAAGAAGATCCATAACAAGAACATTATATTCACGTTCCTGGCCATACCTGTGAAACGATTTTACAATTGTTAAACAAAAATAAAATATTTAGAATGGAAAAGAGCTCAAGAAAAGACAATTAAAGTTACCAGCGAATGTGTGGTATTCCTATACCACCGTGTAATATTTTGTACAGCTTTGATTCGTACAAGAGCTGTGGATGCCGAGCTCGAATATTTTCCAGCTTAACTGCAACTTCCTTAAATAGAAACAAACATGTGTCATCAGACTACACTTTAGAATTTGACATTAAATGCAAATAATTATTGTTAAAATTTTTTTTGTACACACATGTTAAAGGTTTGTTCAAATCTCTGTTCACTTTTCTCTTCAGTTGGTTTTTACTCACAAAAGATTTTTTACATACTACTTTTGTCTGTTATAGCTCTTATTATTTTCAAAGAAATGTACATGTAAATGTACATTGTTAAGCAACTAAGCATTTCTTATTAGAAATTATAATAGATATTTCCAAATAAATGTGCATTTTATAAACTACAGCAACATAAAAGAATGATTTACAATACAAAATATAATAATGCACAATTGCTAATTAATATGCAGTCGTCAATTCAATTCTCTTCATTCCTAGATAAGGCTGTAATCTAAGTGTAAAAGCATTCTAATAAAAAATAGTCAGTTCAAACTGTTTCTTTCACTCAGTTTGAGTAAAATCCACTTTTTTCTACAATTGCAAAATACGCGGCGAGTGAAACAGTTTGAATTCTGATAATCATTCGTTGTTCTAACAAGCGTCATCTTATATTTATCTGAAATTGCGTTGCGACGACGCACGTCATGCGTGTGGGGGAAAAGATTGATGTTGCCGAACACAATAAGCAAGGATAATCCGAGCACGTTTTTTTTTCGCAACGTTGTCCGTATCAACGGGATTGTCGAGCACTGGTTCTCACCAGCTTCCGTTGTCGGACACATCGAGGAAGTATCTCTCCTCGGCGACGTCGCGCTCGACATACTGCGTCCGTGTTTCCGGAGTGTTTCGCGCGTCGACGTTGTCGTCGTAAGGGGGACCAAAGGAGACGGAACGAGAAACGAGATGCAGAACGAAGCGAACAAGCGGAAACAAATCGAGATAGTAGCCAGTAGATCGACCAGTAGGCGACGGGTCAAACCGTGCGAAGAGACGGCCGTTTCCTTACCTCACCATTTGAGATGTTGATGCCCAGGTATATGTCGCCGAATGAACCCGAGCCAATTTTCCTCATAAGCCTGTATTTGCCACCCACGATAAACTCATTCTTCGCTATTGATATCGCTAACGACGCCATGTCACTACAATATACTCTCCTCTCTCCTCCGAGTGTGTCTTCTCCTCACTCCTTCGCCACCTCCTCCTCCTCCGCCACTCCGTCTGGTTGTACCCTCGCAGCGGGGACCTCTACACAGCGTTGGTGTAGTTTTGCACCTGCTCGCCGTCTCCCTTTCTTCCTCTTTCTTTCTTCCACTCTCACCTCTCTCGCCGTCCCGAATGTCTTTCTTCCTCCTGCGCGCCCCAGGTCGAGAGTTCGTATTCAAGTGCAAAAATCGACCGAGCGGTATCTCGTACGCGGTACGCTCTGTAGCACAAAATTTTGACAAGTCAGGGCAGACGGGGACGTGACGCGTACGTTACTAACGAAGGTCGGTCGGTCGAACGTGATTGCTGATGTCACGGTGAGCCCCATCGACTGCGCGCCGACATTTTCCCTCACGCAACAACGCACGGGCAGCAGCAACTGACCGTTCCGGAAGCAATGCGTCACGAATCCTCAGGCGGCGAGAAAGAGATCGACGCAGGCCACTGCCGCTCAATGAAGACACCCGAAGACGGTGTCCCGTCCAGACAATCGCGCCTGTCCAGACAATCGAGCCCGATGACGATTCGCACGCGCGATAATACCACACACCGTATATATGTTTTTCAACGTAAGAACAGCGAAACAAGCTGCGTCTTGAGCGCGCGCTCGTTTCCCCGATCCGCGTGAAGTCGCTCGCTTGATTACGTTAGTCGCTCGCCCTTCTCAGGACCGTCCATCGTCCGTAGCAATTCGGGCGCAGTTCGAAAATAACGGACCTTTCAAAGTACACGTTACAAAATTACGCGAAATTAATCGACGAAAGAGTTATCGCGCGAGTATTTCTGACATTCGCGACGCCGACGACCTCGGCGAATTAATTGTCAAAAATGATCAACGAAATCGAGTCACTTTTGAATATTTCCGATATCTTACAATATTTATCAAATTAGCTGATAGATCAAAATTCATGTTTTTACGCAATGTGAGAAACAAGAATCTCAAATAATCTGAAGAAACATCGTATCTCAAGTAAATTCGCATTTGGTTTGTGAATCCGGAAGTTGAATATGTAGGTCAAAGGTATCGTTCTTTCGTGAATGCGGCACTGAGATATATATATGTATATATATTAGAACTTGTTCTACTTCAAACTCATCTTCGCGGACTACTGTTTAAATTTTTCCTTCCTTACGTTTGGCAATCGTTCACATTTCGTTGCACAAACGTCACTCGTCAAACGCGAATGATAATGCTGTGCTGATAAATATCGCTACTGACATTGCGATTGAATACGTACTTACGCAATGCACAGTAGCGCAACCCTTTGGCGGTACTTTGATATACGAAACTCAGAATAAGGTTTCACCGACGAAAACGTCCCGCTATACTTAACTCTATCAATATTTTTGTTCACTTCGGTGAAAACAAAAGAAAAAGACAAATCTCTTTTATATTACAGAGGTTGCAAGGGAAACAAATGTGTATGTTGTGTGTAAATTTATTAAAAATTGTTTAATGTACGGTATTTTGTTTCAAATATTCCAAAAGAACATCCTTAGCTGGTGTATCTTCCCCGAAGTCCTGTGGAAGAAAAAATAATATATTTATGTACAAATACATATGAAAACATTTTGTACAAATATTCCAATTTCACACGTATCTTACTTTTATGACAACACAGGAACAGCCAACAACTTTACGTGCTTTGCCTGCGCTGTCGATTTTACACAGTCCAGCCCATTCGCCTAATTTTTTATTGTTATCTACCTTTATCAAAGGAATTTGATGTTCATTGCATAATGCCTGTACTAACTTTTTGTACATTGGTTCATCGCAATTATCTGCCAAGATGCAAAGCATAGCCTGCCTTCTGCAATATAAAAAACATATTTATTATATGATTCAAAATAATTTATTATTCAATGTAAGTAAAATAAAAATTTCTTGACACCAACTTGAAGTTCTCTTTTTAGCAAATATTTTTAGCAATAATTATTAAAATAAATGAAAAATTTACTCTAACTGAATTTTATATTTCCTTATATATCTTACTTGTCCAATGCTTTGGCAGCTTCATGAAGACCATGTACGACACCATCGTGAATAAGAGAGTTTTTCAACACTTCTTGCAACGCCGTGTTAACATCCATACTGCCACTGGCAGCCACTGCCGGTGACACGTCGTCACTACATCAAAACAATTTTATGAGACATAGTGATCATATGAGTTCGTACGACTGGAGTGTACTTAAAATATAACAGTAACAGAATCTTAGTCTCAAAGCAGATAAGATAAACCTTTACATATGAAGAGTGATAGAGAAATAAGGTTAATTCATTTGCTTGTTGTATTACTGTTTACTCAACATAAAAATGATTAATTTTAACGTAAACGTTTGTTTATAAAATCGCACAATTATATGTATTCATGATTTTTGTAATTTATCAAAATCAAAGGCGTGTAAATGTATACACGTGATACACAATAAGGATATTCGATACTTACTTTTCTACGTCCGACATATTTCAAATGTATCAACTGAAAGCTAGAAATAAATACACACTGTTATTAATCGCATTTTGAAGATTATATTTTATATTTTTTCCGTAAAATATATAACGATTCAAACGCAATAAATAGATTTTTAATTTCTTTATTACCGTAAACCACAGCTTTACTTACTTAACCTCAAGGCGAAAGAGAAAGATGGCGGCAAAACACACGAGGCGGAAGGCGCGAGGGTCGTTTTACTTGTACTACTGGCCTAAGGTCTGTTTCTTTTTACCTGAACTGGCTGCACTAGTTCAGAGTTTATCTTTTTTTCTCCACATTGGAAAAAGAAAGATAACTCTTAACTGGTGTAGCTAGTTCAGGTAAAAAGAACAGACCTTATGTTTAAAGAGCCGTCTACAATGGAGAGTTGTAGACCGTAATAGTAAGAAATTGACCAATCACAGACAAAGTACAGAAGAATAATCGATTGTGATTTGTCAATTTCTTACTGTTACGGTCTAAAACTCTCCATTGTAGACGACCCTGTAGACGGCTCTTAAACTTTTGTCACGTGCAATGACCTTCAAGGCCGAAGCACAGACTTTTGCATAACGCATAAGACATAAGAGAATCAACCAATCAAAGCTTTCGGGAACAAGAAGTAGGGATGAAAACGAAAAGCTGGATTGGTTGATTTTCTTATGTTTTATCATATATGTAAAGAGCCGTCTACAATGGAGAGTTGTAGGCCGTAATAGTAAGAAATTGACCAATCACAGACAAAGTACAGAAGAATAATCGATTGTGATTGGTCAATTTCTTACTATTACGGCCTACAACTCTCCATTGTAGACGGCTCTGAACGCAGCCTTTCTTGCGAGAGCTATCCCTTCTTGCCCTCGATTCTTGTGTAATAATTTTTGCAGTAGATTTCTTCAATTCAATGGCAAACGTTCTTCTGCAAAATGCGGCACGTGTAAGTTTATATAAACACTTGAGAGACATCCGGATAACTGCAAAGAATAAGAGATGCATCATGACGAGCCGAACGAGACTCGAAAAGGTTTTAGAGAACCTGCAAAAAAATCCGTATTACGACAAATACGCGGAGAAAATTGCGAAGCTGCAGCAGACCAGTCCAGAGGAATTTCTACAACGCGTCGAGCAACAGGATAAAACTCTTGAGACAAAAGGTACATATAATCTTTGTCTGTAACTTCCTCTTTTTTTTTAAATATATTTATGTCTCTTCCGCATTTGTTTAAACACTACAAAGGTTTTACAACAAATATTTTATAATCTTTGCAAATTATCTCAGTGATAATTAATAAGAATGCTAGTTTAAACGGTGGAATTGTTGTGATGAACGTTTGAACATTATTGTTGAAGAGAAACACAAGAAAGCGGCTAAGTTTCACGAAACTGCAGCAAAGCCGGTTTTAGAGCCTGACACTCAAGCGAGAGAAGCGCAATTAAATAGCATAATGAAAGTTGACATGATAAGAGACAAGTCGAGAGAAGAAATTGCAGAAATCTGGAAAGAGTATCACAAGCTGAAGGACTGCATTTGCGGGATCATGACGCCTGAACAGTACAACAAGATGTTTGCACGCGGCAGGCAATACTCCACGTTTCTTTTACCGTTACCAAGAGAGCACGGCTATGAATTTATAATGTGTCAGTTCTATGGCTCAGAAGTGCACATGACTCCTCTCTTGTGGTATCAGACACACAAGGAAAATGCACCCGAGTGTCTAACAATGATACATTACACTGAACTGAAAGATGACAAAGGTCTTGTACTGATGCGTGGAGAATTTGACACAAAATTGTTACAAGTACATGAGGCACAGTGCCTGGCTAGTGAGTTGCAATTGTATTACTGCAACGATAATGAGCAGAGACTGAATCTGCTTGAAATCTTTACTCACAGACCTGGCGAATTCAAGCACATGGATCTCATAACTCAATTAGAAACAATATCTTTGGAATCGCGCGGCATTGAAACAAAAAAATAAAGAATATAAATTTGTTCTAGATGTTATTTAATATATATGTATGGGAAACTCTGTTATAAAATAAATATTTTAAGACTACAAGCTTGTATGTTATTTTCTGTAAACTTGTAAACAATGTTTTTATGTTTCAACACATTGATTTTACGTTTTACATCTGACAGATGTAAAATTACGTTCATCATATATTTTTTTATATTTATTTCTTGTTTGTTTTGAATACCAAGAATTAAAAAGCAATTTTTTTTATATTGTATAAAATGTGTTTACATATGTTGTTTTTCTTGTACAATTTATTGGTACAATTTAAAATTATTCGTGTGTATAATGAAAGTAATGTATTAATTTAAATTTCAGTTAAACTTAATTTAACTTCAAAGTACCAGTCTTCAAAATCGGCGATATTTTCCTTCTTGTTTAAAAACACACAAACGTCATGGAGTCAGATGGTGAGGAGACATTATGTGAAAGATTTGTCTTCAACAAATAAATACATCACTACACCTATTTTTTATGTGAATGCTGGTATGCAATATCTTTTAAAGTATCTCATAAATTGCTTCAATTAATTACGTAACGTGGAAAAGTTATATAAAAATATTCGCATGTTTTATATACTACTAGGTCCTCACATCGGACATCTCTACAGCGCGGTTCTGGCCGATTGCGTTGCTCGATATAACGCTATGCTGGGCTACAAAACATTCCTGGTCACTGGCACCGATGAGCACGGCAACAAGATAAGATCCGCCGCGGCCGCGGCGGGTACACCGAACATCGAATACTGCACGAAAGTCTCGAAGCAATTCAGGGACATGTGTGATAGGTTTGAAGTGGATTACTCGCGTTTCATAAGAACCACAGAAGAGCAACACTGTGACGCAGTGCATTACTTTTGGGTTCTTAAATCAACTTTGTCATTAAACATCAGCTCCGTGTGCGCGCATCTGCGATGTTCCAGCTCATATTGGAACAATTTCAGAAACGTCTAGAGGAAAGGGGACACATCTATTTGGGAAAGTATTCGGGATGGTATTGCGTGTCGGACGAGGCGTTCCTGTCTGATACGGAGATAGTGGAACAAAAAGATGCAACCGGTAAAGTGATTAGAGTCTCCACCGAGTCGGGAAACACAGTGGAATGGACGGAGGAGGAGAATTACAAGTTTCGACTCAGTGCGTTTCAAGACGATCTCAAATACTGGCTCAAAAATGGTATCCTAAATTTCAATTTAATTTTTTTATTTAAAAAATTTTTTTTATTTTTCATTTTTCTTTGTCATGTAACGATCGTCGTGCTCATAAAAGTTTCGGATTCATTCGCAGAAGAAACAGTTCGACCAGCGATATATCACAAAGTATTGTCCGAGTGGGTGGAGGAGGGCACGTGTCTGCGAGATTTAAGCATTACTAGAATAAAAAGTAAAATGCCATGGGCTATACCATCTCCGAGTGACGAATCACACTCGATATACGTGTGGCTAGATGCTTTGGTGAATTATTTAACGGCTTTGGGGTATCCAAACGAATCGTTCAAGAAGTTTTGGCCACCTACTATTCAAGTATGCATTGTGACATCTTTGGCTGATACCAAAACACTGACTGTGTATTGTAAAAAACACATTACTGCAGGTAATTGGAAAAGACATTCTGAAGTTCCACGGTGTCTATTGGCCGGCGTTCTTGATAGCAGCGGGTCTCGAACCCCCAAAGACGTTACTGTGTCACGCTCACTGGACAATCGATCATCAGAAGATGTCGAAATCGAAAGGGAACGTAATATCGCCGTTCGAAGCTGCGAATATTTATTCAGAAGAAGGATTGCGATACTTCATTCTGAGAGAAGCGGTGCCTCAGAATGACGCGAGTAAGATTCATATAATTCGTGTATCTTTGTTTATTGTGTATTAATGTTTCTCTGTACAGACGATTTTGCGTTCTAGATTATAGCACGACAAAAATTACGAACGTACTTAACTCCGAATTAGCGGGCACTTTGGGCAATTTGGTGAATCGCTGCGTGGGCAAGACGGTGAATCCGTCCAGAGAGTTTCCCGATCCGGCGAAATACTGGAACGTGTTACGATCTCAAGCGGCTGATCAGACCAGGGAAGCTCTGGAGTCCGTGGGCAGAAAAACGCGCGAGAGCTACGAGGAATATAATTTGCATCACGTGGTGGACGCGGTCATGAATATGCTCTTTTGCGCGAATAAAATGGTGTCGTATCACGAGCCCTGGCAATTAAGAAAACGAGTGGACGACGCGGATTCAATGAGAGAGCTCAAGGCTGTGATCTCTCTCGCTTTGGAAAGCAGCAGAATAGCCGCTCTAATACTTTATCCGATTATGCCGAGATTGAGCGGCGATTTGCTCAATTTTCTGAACATCCCGAAAGAAAATCGCACATGGGCGGATACCGCGCCGGAATTCTTCAATAGCGCCAGCGCGAAAGAAAGGTACATCAAACATAACAATGTAATACTGTTCAAGAGAATAAAGAGTCAGTAAAAACGTTTGGTTCATGCAAGAGAATGTTAATTGCATTGTTCGTTTCTTTAACACATGATCGATCGACGCGCGCTTTCTCGCTTTTTTTTGTCGTATCTGGAGGGAATGGGAGAGGATCGTGAAAAGTCACAGATTGATTACTCTTGTCGAAGTCTTAGTCTAGTATATTTACAGAGAACGATCCATTCAAATATATCAGTAGTATACATCAACATTGCGCAGACGTCATGCCGGCCGGAGTGAGTCCCAACAATCGTTCTTGATATTTTACAATCTGTACAGCAATGACGTACGCCATTCACACGCGCGCCAATAGTCTTGCTCTGAGTTTCCCCTCTCACACCGGATGACAATGCACTTTGTATCGTAGATATAGATGTACGAAGGAAGCTCGACGGATCTCCTCGCGAACGCGCCAGATCGGTTCGTGATCACTTCCCTTCGCTCGGATATGTGATGCATAATTGAGTTGAGATTCAACGGGTGCCCGACAACGATGATTCGCGAGAGTTTCATCTGCGATCGCGAGTGCCACACCTGTGATATCTCCCCCGCGCCCCGTCAAATAGAAAAATAATTAAATGGCTATATTTACACGATGGAAAATGAATTCTGTAGTTCGCGGCGCCGCTGCGCTGTACCTATTGCTATTAAATAACCTTTGTGTGTGTGTGTGTGTGTTGTTTTTTTTCTGCTTCATGACGTTTCGGACAGACGTTACTATTCGGAAACTTATCGAGTTATTTCGAGTAACACCCAGCTTTTTAACATCGTAGATCGACTATCAGACATTGCTCCATTAGAGAGTTTACGATTGCTTGACAAGATTAGTTTTAAGTTCCTAAGCGCTACGTTCGGATTCTTCTGTTAATCGACAAATCCCCAACTCTCTATCTGCCTGCGTCGTCGCTTTCGAAACGATAAAAAACAAATATTTTACAAAAATATGATAAATTCAATATTAAAACGAAAATATTTCAATATCAAATTTAAATATTTGTCTAATTTTTTAATATTAAAAATAAGTACACACGCTTACATAAATATATGCATATCGTATTTTACATTAATAAATAAATATGTGTATATATATGTACATAAATCAAGAGAGAAAGCAGGTACTATGTTTTTTCTTGGATATGCTTCGAAGTAATTCGGGCGATTGTCTTAATTATAATGGATAAAAATGTCCTCGCGAATTTTTTCGCGCTCTATATATTCGATCGAACAACACAGCCTCTTTCACAATAAAAAAAAAAAAAAAAAGAAAAAAATCGAATAATATAATGCGTGTGACAACGAAAACTCGCGTTACTCTCGCGTAATTGTTCTCATCACAAAATTACTTTATATGAGATTATATTTCAAGTTATCGTTATAGTATACGGATGATCGTATAGAATATAGAAGAAGAGACACGAAATACCAAAATAGATTTTGTATAATATTCTGCAAATGTGTCTCGATATATGTGTGTATATGTATATATTGCTCCTTCATTTATTCTTCTAAAAATCCGACGTCAATGAGACACGCCATATCGGCTTTTCCGAAATGTCATCAAATGATGAATTTTTTGTTATCTAGAACATTAATCGACAATAGCAGCCATCACTTACAACTACCGCGCGCTACATTTTGATGGAGAAGAGATTCAGCAAGATGATTGAGTATTATCAGCGTCCCCAGTTTACATTTATATTACACGAGTGGCTATGTAGCGAGACACATAGGTGTCCGCAATCGGAATGCGCGTTTCTTCCGCGCGAGCAGAAGACGATCGCTCTCCTTTGCGTTTAATTAAAATTCTCCCGTACATGCAAATACAGCGCGAATAAACTTTCGCACGTAGGAGAGTAAACGTCTCGCGTGTTGATACAAGCAATGCTGTATGTAGATTATTTATGTACATCGATGCGAATTCGCATGTGAAACAACTGCGCAATATGCGTCACGACAATCTTCGAAAATAAATTAAGCGCATAAACTCTGCAAGTCCAAATGTCATTAAAACAACATCTTGATCATTATTCGAGCGTCTGTTTAAATTTGCAACGTTTTTTCCGCCAGACGCGGATGCTGACGTCTCGAAATCTCTTTTTTTTTTTGGATCGCAAAAGTCTTCGCGACAGGATTGACGAGAAAATACAAAAATGAAAAAAAAAAAAAAAAAAAAGACATCGAAAAACCGCGACGACTCGGGCGGCAAGCGGCGAGTGAGATCCAAGAAAGGAAGTCGTTTTTAAAGATGACGGAGAGTAGAAGAAGACGCTCGTTGATGTTTTCTTTTTGTTTGTTTTTTTTCTTATATGGCGCTGACTATGGTGTCACGGTGTCGTTGAGCCATCACGCCGACCTGGCAGCTGTCCGCGCTCGATCTCGGACTGATATTGCACTCGACCATGGAGCCGTTGCGCTTTTGCACCACCACGGACCGAAACTCGCCGCACTCGCTGGTCGACGGCTGGTTGCCGCGGGCGCGCGCACCCTTCGTGAGGATTCTCTTGAACGCTTCCCGGAACTCAGTGTTGAAGATGCTGTAGATTATCGGGTTGAAGGCCGAATTACTATAGCCGAGCCACGTGAGAACCTGTCTCAAGAAGAGGAACATCAAAATGTTGGTTACAAAAAAGATAAATTTTACAAATAACAGAAAAAAATTTGAAGAATCCGAAGAAATCTCTAAGAAATAAATAGTATCAATAAGAAATTACAAGTAAAATAAAATAGGCAGGAATCGCGCGCCCACCTGGAACGCTCGGAGAGATATGCAGGTCTTGCAGTAGGCTGCGACAATGTTGACGCAGAAGAACGGCACCCAGCATATCAGGAACACGCCCATGATTACGCCGACGGTGATCGCGGCCTTGTGGTCGGACACGTGGTAAGGACTGGTTGGCTTCGTCTTCGTCTGCGGCTTCGGCGGTTTGCAGCGACTGCTCTTTGAGCGAAAACTCTTGGCCATCGAGGTCTCTGGCAGCTTCGTCACCGCTCGAATACTCTTTACGTGCTTTTGCGCATAGCAATAGAGCCTGTGAAGAAAACACTTCTCACAATGAACAGATATAAAAAAAAATTGTATCTTTTATATCTTTTTTTTTTTTTCATTCAAATATTAACCGATTAATTATTGAACACGTTCTCTATCAGAGACGATAAACTTGATGAAGAGCAACACATTTGCGCGCATCTCCATCGAAAATTTAATTTCTTTCTAACTGTAAATTATTCCACCAGAGATTATTTATATTAAACGTACGTGTATACTCGACTTATCTTTCATTTACTATGGATTTCCGACGGAGATGCTTTCGCGATAGTTCGCATTGTTCGGTTCTCTCAAGCCCGTGTTTCATAGAATGTAGCGTGCAAGCTGCATCACTCATGAAGATTACGGCAAACGATTACGCGAGCGAGTTGCGGAAGTAAAAAGTTAAAATTAATGGCCACCCCAAGAGTGTATGTGGCTGTGTGTACATGTTGACTGTACGCGAGACTTACCTGCAATAAATACCCAGCATCACGATGCAGGGCACGTAGAAAGATATGCAAGAAGACACCACCGCATAGGTAGGTGTAATGTCTAGGGCACACGTAGGGTGCTCCTGTAAGGGTAAAAGACGGTGCGGTTAGCGGACTGCGCGACGACCGCGCGCAAGTTGCCACAAACGTGAAAAAAAAGGGGAGAAATGTCACTTATTTTTAATCCTCGTCACAAAAGCGCAATCCCGCGGCAATTCACGTATCTTCGCGCTGCATGAAAGTGCTCACTGTGAATTCAATTTCAATCGGGACATCGTCGAAGTTAATATTTATAATTGCAGATTTTTTTTTTTAATATTATATACGTACTATATGTTATATACTCTTTCAACTATTGAAAGTAGACAGAATGCATATTTCATAAATTTCGAGAGAGAGAGAAAGAGAGAGAGAGATAGCGGCCCGAGGATTATCCGATAATTAAAACCGATAGTGTTTGCTCCCGGAAAATTGAGACGACGAGAGGCATTTTATTCAAGTTTTTTAGTATTTAAGTAGGCCACTCGATATATCGAAGAAAGTTGATATTTATAGTACAATTGATTCTGAAACTCTCTACGTACTTCCACTTCGTTAGAGAGCTTGGGTTGATCTTCATTCCTATGAAGATCTAGACTGATCGGTACGAAGGATATGAGTCCTGCCAGCAACCACACAACAGCGATACCGCCAATGGCGACTCTTCTGGTCACCCAACGACCGTATCTGAAAATAATGTTTGATTATTCTTCATTACTACTTATGAGAGATGAGAGCGATCGCGCACTAACAAAAAGAAAAAAATACGTTTTTTTTTTTTTTTTTTTTTTTTCAAACAAAGAGTCACAGATATGTTGCTTTGAAAAAAAAGTTTAGAAAATATTGCAGAAACAAATACACTTACCAAAGAGTAAACAATTATTTTAATAAAAAAAGTATTTTAAATTAAAAACAAAAAACGACTGTTATTGTTTTTCAATTTGCGCGTTGTTCGCAATCATTGTTACATAATCGCTTCGGCTTTACCTGAGGGGATCCTTGATGTGGATGTAACGATCGAGCGATATGGCACATAGATTCAGAATAGAGGCAGTGCTGCACATAACATCGAAGGCGATCCAGATGTCGCAGAACCACATTCCGAAGATCCAATAACCGAGGAGGTCGTTGATCCCAGCGAAGGTCATCACCAGCGCGCCGACGAAGAGATCGGCGACGGCGAGCGAGGCCAGGAAGAGGTTGCCGATCCTCCGCAGCCCGCGATCAGTATAGATTGCCACGCAGACCAGGACGTTGCCGGCGACCGAGAAGAATATCAGGATCAAGAGGAGGAATCCTGCGGAATGTATCGTCGCGAGACGATTGGTGAGAATCGCCGCCAGAACGCTCGTCGCTATTCAACAAATTCACGTCGTTCCCCTCGAAGAAGCGCGTGCCTTCGGAAAATCGCACGTGTGTCATCGATCGTCGATGAAATATGACAATTCGCCGCCCGAATTGTTCATCGGATCGAATCGTAAGACGAATTCACGAAAATCTCGCAACATGTTCATGATAATGGGCGTGAAAAAACACATCGCGGAATGACCGGACGCTGTCGCGCAGATAGAAATATCCGACAAATTTCGAAATTCAAAAAGTCGCGATATTCATTTTTTAGTTTTTAAAAAATTTTGGAAACTCCGATATACAAAAAACCTTTCACTGTCTAAATTAATTTTTCTAAAGTTTACAAGAATTTTTTAATTCTTTCTCTCACGCATTGGCTACTTTGGCATATAAAATAAAATTTTCAATTGATGAAAAAGACATTAAAATACGAATGATATAAAACCGAGACGCGGTTTTAAAAACCTGTACCGTAAATAGTGCCAGTTTTTACGACTTTGATGTCGGAGAAACTTCGAACGTCATTTCTTGTAACTTTCAATTTCAAAGATTGAATATTTTTTATGAAAAAAAAAACAAAACCAAATTGTTAAATACGGCCGTTGCAGAAGTATAAAGAATCGGTTTGTGAATTAAAACAGAAATTAAAAAAAAAAAAAAAAAAAAAAAACCGAAGAGAGAGTCGCAGGCGAACAACTGTGTTCTGATTTCTAAGCGCACATCCCCTTTAAAGAACTGGATTCAGCCGAGTATATGATTTGCTTCGCGAAGCTTTATTTTCGTGAACCTTCATATTCTCTCGATAACATGAGCACCCCGTGTAGTAATTCACGTAAAGCTTTCGACGTTAAGAAAAATTCTGCTGCTATAGCTAGAAATTTCGAAGAGAGGTGTGTGATGTTCTTTGCATGCGCTGCAACTTTTCCCGGCAAGATTTCGTTTCGTTTCACTTGACTTTACTTATAAGCCGTGAAGAAAAAGATCAACATCAACATAGAAATCTTTGATATTTCCTGAGTAAATAAATTACAAGACAAATAATTCACATGATAATTAATCACGTCCGTGTCTCTTGGATATTTTAATCGCAAAAAAATGAATCAACGCAGTTCTTGAAAGTTAAAAAAACTTACACAAAAAACTCTAAAACAAAATCAAAAAGAATTTTTAACTCATGTATCTCCACATTTTCTGGCTCAACCTTGTAATGTCATATCAAATAAGATTTGACAGTTCGTTGACAGCTCGTGTGAGCCGCACTTATCGACAAGATAGAAATTATGACACTTGCCCTCGGAACTGGCGTTCAATTGCAATTTACTCGATTCTATCGATTATATTAAACGGCAAAAAGGCTCGAGAGGTTTGAAGAAGATCAAGGAGAGTGTCGCAAGGGAGACTATAGGAGCGGATCTGAAAATAGTGCGTTATGATTGGACGAGTCTCGGATCGGAGCTTCCGAGAGAATGAAAAAGAGAGAGAGAGAGAGAGAGGAGAGAAGAAATGTTTCTTGGAAGAGCAGCTGTCTTCGAGGGGGCGACTCGCGATCGATCAAATGGAAAGTTTAGCGAACCAACTAGGAGCACCGACAGCAGCGAGAAAGCGTCTTCAGGCAGATCTTCTTCTTCGCCGTCTGTCAGGTTATTCTGCGAAAAGACAAAGAAGGAGAGACCGCGTGAGAAAGCGGGGGCTTATCAAAGCGATACGACGATTTATGCGTGACACAATTCTACGTCGAAACATATGCGATACATTTTGCGGAGAGAAGGAACATACAGACAGCGCAAAAGGCACCGCCAAGACCGTCTAAAGGACTAATGCCTCGAGACGTCAAAGAGATGTCTCTTCGAAACGCTTTTTGATGGAAACGTATAAAGGAATGGTGATAAATCACACATATATATATATACATACATGCAAATACGTGCTTTTGTCATGCAAACTACGTGAAAATTGTAGCAAATAAATAAAGATAAAAACGTGTAACTCCGGCAGAGTATTCAAGTTTTTATTTTTTTTTTTTAAATTCAATTATACGTAAGAAAATATATTTAAAGATACTTTTATTTCATTCTTTATATTCGTAAATCCAATAAGCGAGTCGGGCGTTTTTTTCACGTTTTACGCAGGAAAAAAGGAGAGCGCCTACAGCTGTTAATATTCTTCGCCGCGGACACTGGCCGCGCGCTATTTCTCATTGCGGCGGGTGCAGCTGACTTCGCGTAAACGCGACTATCTCCGCCATAAAGTCGTTTCAGTTCAGCTTTTTACGGGCGGCATCGGGCGTACGGGAAAGTAGCAGGCGCCTACGATAACAATCTGCATGTCGGTCGCGCGCGCGGATGTGTGTGCGGATCCGCCCCGTGTATTTCGCTTGTAATTATACGAGCGTTTTATCGCAAGAATTTTATCCAACTCTCTCGATTCGTGCGCTCGTATTTTTTTTCGCGGATAAAACGTCTCTCGGAGAAACGTCTCGTTGTCGCTAGACGAGTCTGACACAGAATGCGACCGCGAACATATATCGCGCTGACGTTATTAATTTCGGTTGTTTAGTGCGTGTGTGTGTGTGTGTGTGTTGCGCGGTAATCGATATTTATGCAGATTTCGCGGTTAAATGCATAATGCATGAGCCGAAAACAAATAAATTGCAATCGCGTGTCCGCGATATTTCGTCATATTTCACGAGCGGAGCCGCGACGTTCTCTCTTTCTCTCTCTCTCTCTCTCTCTCTCTTTCTCTCTCTCTCTCTCTTTCTCACGAATCAATCACCGTTTGCGTTTCGCGCAATCATAATAATTTATGTAACGCGCCGAGATCCGTCAAGTTGAAACTCACTGTACTCGAAAGTGGAGCGACGTTTTTATCGATTCATTAAATATGCAACATAGCGCGGAGCTACTTTGTATTCTATATAATAACGCGTGCGCTTTATATTACATATAATATTCGAGCTGTATTACATTTCTCTTTCAGATCCACAACTTAAGGAAACTTTGCTCGAAAAGTTTGCTAGCGGAAATAATTACGCGTCCGTGAAAATTAGAGCTTATGAATTTAGAAACGCGCTTGCGCGCGCGTTTGCAAAAGCGACATTCCGATTTAATCCGAATGGAACTCAACAAGACACTTTTCGACAAATCAAAATTGATTAGAGTAGCGCGCTCCTTTTCCGCTCCAATTTTCCACTTGATCATGCCTCGATTCTCGACTAATTGTCCCGATTCTCGCCAACCGTGGCTGACTGCCACGAGAGACTTCTCGTCTTTTACCACCGTTCAAGTCTTGCCGTTATTCGTCGACGTCAAGTCGACGACAAATTCAATCGATCGACGCGGAGAACAAAGTCGAATTTTTTCTCGTCTCGCAGACGAGACAAGCGTCGGGAAGGTAAATTATTTTTATTGTTCTACAAAAAAAAAATCAAATTTGAGAGAGGGAGAGAATTAAAATAAAATTCGTCGCGTGCATCGACTATGCGATGCAGCGAAATTACAATAAAAGCGTTTGTTTAGTCGGTCGTGCTGCGGAAATTGCGCTTTTACACGTGTTCAATTGAATCGACGTTACAGTATAGCTCGGCCGAAAAATTGGAACGTTTATGCGAAATAAAAGCACGCCCGTAAAATGCGGTAATTTTTACAAAATAGTGTAATCAAGATGATCTATTTAACTCGGAGCACTTAAGGTATGTTCAGAACGTTTTATTTTTCACCAAGTGGATTATACAGATTTATATACGCGGTGGGTTTTTTCACCGAACATAAATCTCTGCGTCCTTTGCATCTTTCGCGGAAGCTCGTATTATATTACTTATAAAAACATAAGTGCATAATAAACAAAAATATATATACATATATATATACACAAAAAAGAAAATAAAAAATGTTCAAGCAGGTATTTCATCCTCCTCGCAAAAGAACGATGAGAAATCTTTTCTCGCCACAAAAACTCTTGACACAATACGAACATCCTACGTGCTGAAAATGAGCCGTGAATGCAAGCAGATCACGTACCCTTGATACATTACGGTCAGCTTAGCGGGACATATATTTTTACAGGTTATCGCATTAAAGGTTCTAATGGCGAGTGCTTCTTCCATCTGCATACATATCACTTTGACGTAATGTGTAACACAAGCGTGAGCACTACTCGTGGAAACGACAAGACGTATTAACATTTATAAAAAAAACCACGGAAAATGTAGGGCGCGATTAGATTTTGGAAGTAATTTATTGCGGACGAAACATTGTTTTGCAATTTACACGAGATTGTCACAATCTTTTCTTGAACGCATTATCTTTTCTTTGTGATCTATAATTTTTATAATAATGTAAAGAAATGAGGGGTGTCCTCTGGTTCAATATGATAAAATCAAAGGTATATTTAGTACGGCGAAAATGAACCAATGTGCAGGGTGTAGTGCAGATAAAAATAACGAAAAAATTTTTCTTTTCAAAATACTTTATTCAGTCATCCTCAGTCGTAAGACTATGCTATAAAGCAAAAAATACATATGACAAAGATAAATTTGGCAGTAATGATTACAAAATATCAAGCAAAATACGCAAAAATAAAAAAAAAAAAATTAAATAAATAAATAAAAACGCACCTATGAACACTTCATGGAATAATATTTAGGGTATATATACATACGTAGCGTTAGTCTCGTGTGTCTATGATGTTAGAAAGTCAGTCACACACTGAGAGACAAATAACATGGTAACGATTGTCAACAAAATTAAAAGTCAATAAGTTAAAAGGTAGAGAGTCAATTGATCTTATCGATTATTGGTAAGTAGGTTTTATCAAGCAAATCGGTATCTGTCATTATGTTCAAAGTATTATTATACATTTTTATAAAGATCATTTCGGATGAAGTCCGTTTATAATAGTTAGATTCTTTGTCAAGTATAGTGACTGAGTTCCAGTTGAAATTGTGACCGGTAGTAAAAGAATGTTTGAATGTGAAATGAATGTGAAACATTATTCCGTGTCTAACATCATAGACATACAAGACTAACGCTACGTATGTATATATAAATATTATTCCGTGAAGTGTTCATAGGTGCGTTTTTATTTATTTACTTAATTTTTTTTTTTATTTTTGCGTATTTTGCTTGATATTTTGTAATCATTACTGCCAAATTTATCTTTATCATATGTATTTTTTGCTTTATAGCATAGTCTTACGATTGAGGATGACTGAATAAACAGTCGAAACGTTTCGAAAAGAGAAATTCTTTCGTTATTTTTATCTGCACTACACCCTGCACATTGGTTCATTTTCGCCGTACTAAACATAGCTTTGATTTTATAATTTTTATTACTAAATTTCATTTTAAAAATATATATATATATACACACACACACACATATTGCTGATATTATATAATACAAGCAGCAAATACGAGGGATTAAAAAAAAAACCCAGAACTAACAGCCGAGCACATTACTATGTAAATGTGAAAAATATAAAATCCGATTCACCTTCCTCATTATTAACGTTGACAGCTGGCACAAAATATAATCAGCAGGTTTAAAGAGATAAGTAAAACCGCCAGGGAATTCGTATGCAAATTCGCGATATAAAATCCTATTCACCTGCTATTAAGCTATACTACGCGCGATAATGATTGCCGGATATGTCATCTTATATGGCCTTCGCGTGAAATCAGAAGCAATTATTCGGCAATTAAATATACGCGGAGAAAAATTACACGGAGAAATATGCTAATAATACACACTGAGAAAAATAATAATATACGTGATAACGAACGTGAAGCGTAAATATTCAAATTAACACAGAAGTCGTGTTTGCGCGCATCACTTTCTTTCTCCGATTAGCATATCCCATCAGTAGGTCGCGTCGTTTTCCATCGTGCGAACGATTCCTGCCGTCTTCGGTGATCTACGTGTTGTAGATACGAGGATCCATCAACGTGACACCTTAGTCGTTTATTTCCTTTCTCCCGCAACTTTCGTTTCGATCGATTGGGTCAACGATCGCGCGATTTGGCCTGGGGAAACGACAATTCGCACTTGTATTTGTCAGTTGCTTTGCTCGACGAGAAACGCAGAAACGTGAAAAATACTTGTGCTTTCTTGAAAACTTCTTCGTCCCTTGCGGACGGCTAGTAAATTGAAACATATTCGCGCAAACATTTCGTTCGCACGGTGAAAGCGCGAAACAGCTTTTGCAAAATCCATTATTTCGTTGTTCCGATTAAAAAAAATTGGCGAATTGTTTTACAGAGAGATAGCACTTTGATTTTTATTATTAACTATTTTCCCGTGAGGCTTGCATTTTTATGAAGCATCGATTACAAAAATTGAAAGAAAAAACAGGAATTTTCTGTATCACTTTAAAAATAAATTTTCTTTTTAAATTTAACTTATATACATAAAATAAAAATTTTTCCAAAGCTCTGTTATTGACGTTAAAAAATACATATTGCGTTCGTCATTTTATTGTAAATATTAACAACTCGTTAAAAATTTTGAGCACATATACTCACATATCTTTTTTTTTAATATTTTCTCATTCATCAAACTTCCATATATTTATACAGAACGCTTTAAAAAAGCGCTCAATTGCTTGTGAAAAATAACGCAAGAAAAAAAAACGATAAGCTTTTTATTAATG